TTTATAATTTGTATACTTAAGAAAATCCGGCCACGAGATATATTTTGAGAATTTCAAGTTTTTCCAAGAAATACGGGACTCCTAAATATTCAGTAATCATCTCAAATACACCATTTACCCAAAACAACCGTATGCTTTATGGTACATTGGGACTATTCCCAAGCAACCAATGACCCAAAGTAACTGGTTCCATTCATTGCCCCAGAGCTCCCTGGCCTTGCTCTTGATCCGTTGCCCTCTTCCCCAGAGGACTTCCGTTTCCCGTTCCCACTGAGTTATGTATTGGAGTGCAAAATATGAGGCTATTAGAGGCTTTGAGTCCGCTCTTCATACGTGCAGGCTGCGCTTTTTCACACACCTACCCCCGCTCCCATGCCCCGCAGGACACGTCCTCCGCCCAGACAAGAGCATCATCATTATTATTATCCAGCAGCTCATGACTGTGGCCATTACCGGGGAAAATGGGGAAGGAGAGTGGAGCCGAGCAGCTGGCATTGAAAGCGAAAGGCTTTCTGGTGCTGCTCCTGGTCCTGATCTGAAGCTGCTCCTTCTCCGATTCCGTCTCAAGTGACTATTCACAGCTGAAGATTTATTGAATGTGCGCGATGCTGGCAGTCTGCCGTTCCCATTGCCATCGCCATCGCCATCGCCATTGCTCTGTCTGCTCTTTGGCATTGGTATTGAGTGTTTATTTATTTTCAAGCATCATAAAAAATACACAGGCACATACACAGAATCAGACAGAGAAGAACCAGAACCAGAAAAGGACCACAAAAGAGCCCTGAGAGTCCTGAGTCCTGAGAGGTTCCCAATTGTGGTTTCGCTGAGGAAAACTACCATTTTGGGAATCGAATTATGAGAAATTTGTTATTGTTACATGCAGTTTTAAGCTATCATTTATATTGGGAGTATGTTTAGGAGGAAATCGTATTGTTATAGAGTTCCTAAGGCAGTTTAAAATATTTTCCCAGTAATATTACTTCCTTTTAATCTTCCCTAGTTACAACTAAACAACAAAACTTAATTAATTCCACTATTTTACCAAAGATTGTGTAATTCAGAATGTTCAAAATCGGCAGACACAAGGCAAGGACATTCAATAATTTTGTTCGCATTCGAGTGGCAGAAACAGCTGCAATTTTTACGCCATTTTATGCTGCCAAACCAAAGTGTAATTTGTGGCCAAGGGAACTTTGTCTATTGCCCCGATGTGGAGGATGGGTAGCCCATCCTGCGAAGAGGTTGTTGTCGCTGTTAAATGAAGCATTCGCTGGCGAAGTTGAAGATGTTTGCAATTTTTATTTCATTTGCCGGTCAATGAACATTGGAAATGTGTTAAGTGCCGCGCTCCACCTCCAACCTCGTTCTCCACTTGCCTTTAATTGTCTACAAGTTGTCGGGAATGGCTTTTAATGAAGTGTTAAACGATACTTCGGCTTTTGGTGGCCAATGCCTTATATTATTTGGCACGGCCTGAAATATTAATTTCACTTTGGCCAGCTGACACTTTCTCAGGGCGTCGTGAATAATTCCCTTGCGCTTCTTCAAGTGCTGACAGGGCTAATTACCATCGATGATGATGATGATGATGACACTGTGTGTGAGGAAATTGAGCAGGAACAGGAACCTAAGCCGCTTAAAGAGTGAATGGCTTTGGGCTTGAACACTGGCAATTTATGGCTTAGATGGATGATTAATTGTGAGCAACTTGTGACTTTGATGTATGATAATAATCACGCTTGGTTTGCCAATGTACTCCGGAAATTGTCGGTGCTTTTGGAGATTAAATTATGTTTACTATGATTTTATTATGGTGTAAGGTAGAGGCTTAAATGAGGGCAAAGATGTAATGTTTGTATACATTTAATTAGGTCATCTGCAGAGTGTCCTTGCAGAGCTTTCTCTACTTAGCTTTCTCCGTTTCGCCCTGTCACTTTCCAAGTCTATCTGTCACATAATATGGACAATCGGTAACCACGAAAGTGTCAAACAAACAAAACGAGCCGAAAGCCTACTGCAGTGACCCTGCTTCCTAATGATCCCTTCCCATCCAAAAGCATTTCTCTAACACAGTTCTATGCCCTTTAATACCCCTACTCTGCCCCGATTTCACTCCCATGCCACTCCATTTACCCCTCCAGTTGGGAAATTTGCAAGCAAATCCTATTTTCGCATAAGAGGACCCACTCAAAAGGGCACAGAGTAGACCAGGCCAGAAGGAAAGCGTACGAACCACATTCGAGTGCTGCGGGCCATTCGATACTTCTCCTTCTCTCTACATACTTCTTTTTTTTTGCAGTGCACATACCATCGTGCACACATCAATCTCGTTCCGACTTTGCCCAGATACGAATCTTTCATTTTCGCATTTCCGTTCAAAATTTCGTGTAACTGAACTGAAACTTTAGAAAAAAGGAGAGCGAAAAAATTGAGGAATTTTACTGCGCCCAGGCAGACAGACAGACAGTGGGTGGCCGTTGGCGTTGGAGTGGATTCCGCCTGCTCCATGGTGCCGCATGTTAATGCTAGTCAGCCACAAAATGTGGCAGGATGGAGGATGTATCGAATGGAGGAGTTTCCTGTTAAATGGGTGCAGTTTTTAATGAAAAAACTGCGAAAACAAGGGAAAATTATTTTAAAATATTAGGAAAAATTATGAATTCGGCTTCAGAAAATAATTAAAAACATTTCATAGATTTCAAATTCGATCTAAAGGGTTTTTGCCAGGGTTTTTTGTTACAATATTTACTTAATATTCTTCTCAATTAACTACTTTAAAAGATTTCCTTTATATCTTCATTGTTTCTCATTAGATTGAAATTATTAAAAATAATCTGATAAAATCTAATCAAATTCCTTGGAATCCAATATACCCTTAAAGGTATTGACTTTCCAGGGTATGCAAAGTGGGCATCATTCACATCGTCTGATTGCCTTGGCTGGTATCAAATTTAAATTTCTTCATTTGCCTTTCGGTCCGTGTGCAAGTTCAAGTTTTTTGTCTGACTCCTGTACCCCCTCCCCGCCCCTTCCCCAACCCCTTTCCCTCTCTCACTTCCATTGGGTTTTTCCACCCGCAAAAGGGGAGGAAAATTCAGGTCATGTGCGACCAAAAGTAAGTGGATGCGTTCTTATCAGCGCATACAAATGTTTTATCTCGCTTGGCGCGTGTGCAAGGCAAATTACACTGCAAATAATTTGAGATTACTTAAGTAAATCAATTTTATAGTGTCTGTAATATGCTAAATATTTTTCTAATACATTTTTATAAACTTACTCCTTTTTTTCTACATCCCAAAATCCCTTTACATTAAATTACTAAACTATAGTGGTATTTAACTGGTTTTTTCTTAGTGTAGGCAAAAACCAAGACGAAGACAAGGCTTGGAAGTTGCCTGCGGTTGGAATGTCTGTCTCTCTCTCTCCCTCTATCACTTCCTCTCTTTCCCAATTTTTCAGTATGTATGTGTGTGAGTGTTTTGTTTTGCCAATTGTCGGAAGTGCCTGTGAGAGAGATCACACACACACATGCATCGCCAGTTAGACACTTTCTTTTGCTACTCGAGCTTCCGTTTCCGCTTCCATACTTGCTTATGCATGGCATATAACCTTAAACATAATTCTGTTTGCCTTTTGTGTGTTGTGTCCTCGTGCAATTCTATTTTCTTATCTTTGTTTGCTAGCATTTCTTTTTTCTATCCAAGACCCCCCCACAAATTTTATCTCTTTGACTCGTGCCGAGGGTTCAGAAAATCCCTTGCCCTCTAAAATTGCCAAACAGCGAATTCTTGTTTAAAGCTCACGCAAAGATCGATTGAGAATTTTGGTCGCTTCGGCGCCATTTAACCCATTGTGGGCCAAACACAATTCAAGTGTCAAAGTTTGCACTTGAAATTATAATGGTTAGACCGGACCCGCTGGCCATAACAAAGGAATGTTTTGGCTAAAATTCCAGACCGATGCCCGATCCTAGCCCCCCGGGGCCAAACATTCGCACAATGTCAGTCGAGTCGAGTTCTTTGAGGCATAAAAAAACAACAAAAACTTTGAATGAAATGCATGCCCCATTGACAAGTGAGTGGGCGTGACACCCAATGGGAGGGAGCTCGGGCTGGGGTCTCGTCTGGATTGTCGAGGAAATGGCAAATGCATGCATGCAGCCGCACGATATGAGTCTACCCTCCGATCCCCTTCAGCACTGGGACTCCCAGAAAGCCCCACAGGATTCCCCATCTCCGTGCGTTGATTGTTCGATTCAAACATTTTGGCATGTTTCGGGCAGCTGAACTAGTTTTCACTTTTGCTACTAACAGACTAGCTAGGAACAGTGGAGCGGAAGCAGGGGATTACTTAATAAAATATACCAAGGCTTTCTCAGAAATTTGTGTTGACCTAATATCAATTTAAAATTTGCCTTAGAGAGAGCATCTATGAAGCAAATTACTTTATTTTAAGCTCAACTACACTAGATAAAAAATAAAACCGTAGTTTAAGCAAAAGAACTGTCTAAACCTAAACATGCTTAAAATATATGAATTTCTCATGACAAGTTCCAAACTAACACATTTAGAGCACCATATTTTATTAATTACAGTAAATATTTCACCCTTTAAATACTTTTAGAATACTATTTGCTTTAAGCCCTTAGATGATCTTGGAAAATATGTGATACCCTCTGATTCCACAGTTCTGTTGTCGCCCTGCTGAGGCTGAAATGTGTTAAATCCGCTATAAAAGCGGTTAACCGAGTAAACTGCAAATGCAAAATGCGGTTGGGTCACTTCGGTTCGGTGGGGCTCCAGACCCGGGCTCACTTTGACCCGTTCCTGGTCCTCGTCCTCATCCTGTTCCTGATCCCGCTTCTGACCGGCCTGACCATTTTAAAAGCCAGGCCAAAACGTTGATGGGTATACTTTTGACCGCATGCTGCGTTCTGTTTGCAGGGCAGAAACCATTTTTGAAATTCCTAGCTTTTTTGGTGCTCAGTAGGCCAACGAAACTGGCTCACAGAGTTCATAGCCAGCACTCTCGTGCAAAGAAAATAAAATAAAAATTGCTTCTAAGAAGTCTAAATAAATGTTATAAAATATTTGAAAAGCTAAAAAGTCAGAAAGCGAACTAAGTGCAACATGGCATCAGAGGAAAATGGAGAGGTTTGACCTGTGTTAATGTAAATTAAAAAATTTTAATTCAAATTCTAAGGTTTATACGGAGGATGAGGCAAACGAGGCCATGTCCTTGATCCAGGAGCACGAGCTGCCCATGTCGGATCTGCACTATGCCCTCAAGTATGTTCGTATCCTGCATCAGGGACATGATCCGCAGGATCCTCAAAAGGAAGTGGAAAAAGTGCCAGAGGTATCACCACCAGAATTCGATGGTGATTACGAGGAGACCCTTGAAAGATTCCTAATTCGGGATGTTGAATAGTTTTCATTGAAAATGTGTTGTAGATATTAAATAGAATATAGAGATTTCTCAACCTTTCCTGTAAAATATAAATTTTGCGAGTTCCTTAAGATCAAGTTTCTCATTTACTTTAAACACTAGCCCGTTCAGTGCCTTTTTTTGGGAAAACTTTCGCAGGTCGAGTCCATTTGCATTCAACACTCTTGGAGTTGAATTGCAGTTCCTGGACAATCTGCGTCGAGTTGGACAATTTTTAATTGTCAAACGCAGTCGCGTGACAAATGAAGGCGGAGGAGTTTGCACCGGAGAAGCCTTAATGACAGCTGATAATTTATTCAGCGAGTGCAACAGCTGAGAGACGAGGCACGAATTGTTTTCCAGCAGCCATGAAATATTTACACGGAATAAAGGCAACGGGAGCCGTGTCCTGCGCGTCCTGAGATGAAATACATCCGCTTGTCATTGTCGGGACGGAGTGTCCGAGATCTGCTGTAAAATGCAAATGAATTCCCGGCAATTTCCACCCTCTTCGCAAAGACTTGCATTTAATTAGGCATTAATGCGGACCGGGTGCAGACCGGGGTTCATTCTCGGCCCCTTCTGGCACTCTGCGGTTAAGTGAAAGTTGAGCTTTGGCTTAAGCCCGCCTAAGCCGCGACTAAGTTTAATGTCCCAACGCGAAACGCTCAATTTGCATTTTGCATTTCCCGCCGCCGCTTTTCTTTTTTGAGGGATTTCCCCCTGCGGGCTTTACTGCGCGCGCTTTTGCAACCCTCGCCAGCGAGTGACAAATTTATTGTTTCAAACGGATTTCGCTTCGCCCTCAAATTCGATTACTGGTAATTGCCTATTGCCAAGCTCTGTTCGGAGAGTGGCGGAGGGGCGTGGCACAAAGCCGGGCTTAATTGAATTAAAAGGCGTTGCAAAGCTCAAAAGCAGCGAACGCCGTGTTCATTGATGAAGCTTTTTAAACCGTAAACTGATTAATCGCCCGGATTCCGGTTATGGGATGAGTTCTGGATTACAGGGAATGATTGTGATTGGTAATGATAATGCGGAGCGGGGGAGTAATGATAGCATACAAGTGCAATTAAAATGAGATACAGAAATTAAAACCTGCTCAATCAAAGTCTGATCCTGAAACAGGGTTAATTTTCAAATGGGTTTTAAGGAAAATAGAAAACATTTTATCTTGGATAATAATAATATTAAAAAAAATAAATGCATATAAAATAATAATGATAAATTGTAAATATATAAATAATACTAGTAATAATAAATATATATAATAATGTATATATGTATATATATAGGGCTTGAAGTAGGTATTTTTAAAAGTAAAGTTTCGCTGGCCTTTAGTACTCTTTTTTTAATATCCATATCTTCAAATTGGAAAGAAATAAAAAGGTAAACAAACGCGGCTTGCAAATCTGCAAATGTCAAAATTGAGAACCACAAGAGTGGATCGTATCTAATTATGGGCTCTCTCGCTCTTAGGTTCCACATATCACAGCGAGAGAAAGACAATAACAGAGAAGGAAAATTTTGGCGCGCGAGAACAGAGAATAAAGACAAAATGTAAACAGTGTTTGTTTCACTCACCCACATACATTGCTATTGCGGTAAATCCTAACGGCGAATCTGTGAACGAAGTATCCAACAATTTCAAAGGTATTGCACACACTTTATGCATACATTAAATGCCATTTCTTCACATTTTTTGCACAGAAAAAAAAATAAAATAAACTAGCCAACGCATTGATCTTGGCTATAATGATTTATAACACAAAAACGCGACCGACACTGCTGCCCGCACTTCACTTTCACTTTCCCCTTTAGGGCACGCTGTTTTTCCGCACTTTCAGCACCTGTCCACATGCTTTTCCGCTTTATTTTTCATTTTATTTCAGTTTTAACCGCCGCGGCGACCTGCAACATGGCGATCTTTTCGAGTTTTTCGTTCCTTTTCATGTTTTCGTTTAGGAGCTAGAGGTGCAAGAGCATCGATATTACTATACGATGCCTAGAGCATCGACTTGATATTTGAAGTATCGATATATCGTTATTCCCACTGGTTGCCAAAAGCGTCCGGGAGAGGGAGTGTTCGATCCGCGGTTCTGGAATGCGGCGATGTTTTGCGAAATTTAGGCCTGTTGGCGAGATAGAAGATATGCGATGTTCTTAGGTTCCACTCATCACCGCCAGAGCAAGAAAAAATTCGCGCGTGAGGACAGAGAAGTTCGAGGCTAAAGACAATAGTGTTGTTTCACTCACACACAAACATGGCGTATTGCGGTAAAACCTAACGGAAATTTAGTGAGCGAAGCACACAAAAAAAGAAGAAAAAAGCCTTCTACATTTTAGAATGCATGGCACAGATTTTAGGCCGACATTAAATACATATCTTCACATTTGTTGGACTTGCGAATAAACAAAAACAACAAAATTAAGTTGCCAACACTCGCCAGCGCACTGATCTTGGCCATAAATTATTTAAAACAAAAAAAACACGACACGGGCACGGCTGCCCCGACTTCACTGGTGGGGCTCGCTGTTTTCCCGCACTTTTAGCACATGTCCAATGGTATTTCCGCTGTATTTTTTAAATTTATTTCACTTTTAACCGCCGCGGTGATCTCCAACATGGCGACCTTTTCGTTTTTTGCACATAGGCTTTGGAGCTAGAGGTGTAAGAAGATCGATACTAGCGTACGATAGCTCTAGTGTCGATGTGATACTTTGAGTATCGATATATCGTTATCCCCACTGTGTACCAAAAACAACCGGGAGAGGGAGTGTTCGATCCGCTGGAGGGCGGCAATAAGAAAATTTTGTTGTTTCACTCACACACAAACATGGCGCGTTGCGGTAGATCCTAACGGCGAATTGTTAAACGAGGCATACGCAAAAAAAGAAAAAAGCCTGCTACATATTCTAAGGCATTGCACAGAAGTTATACACAATGTTCTTTAAACTTTTTTGACTTGCACAAAAAAAAAACAACAAGATGAGCTTGCCAACACTAGCCAACGCATTGATCTTGGTTATAAATTATTTAAAACATAAAAACAGAAAAACCGGACTCCGGCCCAGCTGCTTCCACTTTTCCCTGTAGGACCCGCTGTTTTCACGCAGTTTTGACACCTGTTCACTGTTTTTTCGCTGTATTTTTTAATTTATTTCACTTTTAACCGCCGCGGCGATCACCAACATGGCGACCTTTTCGTGTTTTTCGTTCCTTTTACGTTTTCGGTTTGGATCTAGAGGTGCAAGAGCATCGATTTTACTATACGATGCCTGGAGTATCGACTTGATATTTTGAGTATCGATATATCGTTATCCCCACTGGGTACCAAAAGCGACCGGGAGAGGGAGTGTTCGATCCGCGGATTTGGAAGGCGGCAATAAGAAAAATTATGTTGTTTCCTCACACACAAACATGGCGTGATGCGGTAGATCTTAACGGCAAACGAAGCACACAAAAAATAAGAAAAAAAAATTTTACATTTTCGAATGCATTGCAGACATTTAATACACACATTCTCGTCACATTTTTTGCACTTGCACATACAAAAAAAACAACAAAACTAACCAGCTAAGGCACAGATCTTGGCTATAAATTATTTAAAACACGAAAACACAGGAACCGAACACCGGGCCGGCTGCCCCCACTTGATTGTCGGGCTCGCTGTATTCCCGCACCTTCGGCACCTGCCCACTAGGTTTTCCGCTTTATTTTTCAATTTATTTCATTTTTTACGGCCGCGGTGACCACCAACATGGCGATCTTTTCGTGTTTTTCGTTGCCGTCGTTTTTTGCACATAGGCTTTGGAGCTAGTGGTGTAAGAAGATCGATACTAGTATACGATAGCTAGAGTATCGATTTGATATTTAGGGTTTGGATACATCGTTATTCCCACTGGGTACGAAAAACCACCGGGAGAGGGAGAGTTCGATCCTCGATGGTAGAGGGCGGCAATGTTTTGTTTTGATTTTGGTTTATAAAAAAGTAAATCAAGTATTGATAATAAAAAATGAGTATAAAAGTAGTTATATGATTATGACATTAATTTTTCGATCCTTTTTATGGCAACTATACCACTAGATTGTCAGAACTTTAAAAAAAAATTAAAACCAAAATTTTAGATTATTGACATTTTGTAATAATCTATATATTCGGTTTTAATTATATAAAAATCTGAGTAAAACTGAACGGTTATACATTATTTTATATTTATCTTATATCCTATATATAAAATTTGATTTCCCAAATTTAGTTTCCTTTCTTTTTTAAGCTAAATATTGTTAATTATGGCATACCCTTTATTATTTATTCCCTTAAACAATTTACCAACATTTATATAGTTATTTATTGATTCCTGGCATTTTTTCTATAAGCATTAAATAGCCAACACGAATGCAATCTCGTCTGAAGTTCAAATTACGAGCCATTGTGCAAGGACCGCAGACATGTAATAACAAATACACAGGACTCAACGCTCATTTAGGCCCGACCACCCCAAAAAAAAAGGGGGGTGGTAATTGGGAGGAATTGGGGTCTCTCACTCGAGGTCAGGGGTGTGTGTCGAGGGGGTTTTGATGGGTTTATTATTGGGTAAATAAATTAAAATTGTTTACCTTTCAGCAGCTATGTATCTACGGCCTCCCCTTTTCCACCATTCGCCATCTATCTATGCTTATTTGTTGTTTCTCTGTGTGTTCCTGTGTTGTTTTTCCAGTTTTTGTTTTATTATTTTTGCCCAGTTCAATTGCGGTTACGTGAGTACGCGTATGTTGCGGCAACTTTATTTGCACAAATTAATGGATAAATGTTCACGCACATGATAATGGAAGTGAACGACATGGAAATGGGCGGCCATCAGCATATGAAAATAAATAAAATTATGGCAAAATTTATATCATCGAGGGAAAATATCATGCAAATTTTCTTTATGCTTGCTCGGTTCGCATGGAGTCTAAATATTTTGTTTAAATTAGTTTAGTAATATACGAAAAAACAAGGAAGGTAATTAGGAAAGAGGTTTGCTTTCGGAAAACCAGTATTTGCATAGCCAAAAGATTTAATATTATATGC